CCCCAAAACCCCAAAACCCCAATAGATTAATTTAAAATTAGTAGGAAATATTAAATTGTAAGTTTAAAAATAAATCCTACCTAAATTAGGATGCTTAATTGTTTAAATCCAGTTATTAATAGATGAGTAGTTTATATTTAAGAGATTAATATATCATACTATATATTAATTAATAAAGTAGATCCAAGGCAGACTCTTTAATAATATAATCTTGAGATCAATGACAAAATCCTTACCTCAAATGCTTCTTATTCTTTTGAGCCTAGTTACAATCATAAGATCTGAAAACATCTTTGATAAACTAGTCAATAGATTTTCCAAACCACAAAAGGCAACTATTAGTTCTTCTTGCCAGGCCGCAATTACTAGAGTAAACAAGGGACTTTCTAAAAATTTCAAAGACTTAGTTACGAAATCATCAACTTATCAAAATGATACATCATTCCCCTCTGATTATTCTTCAATTGCTTCAACTACATATACAAAGAACGAATTATCTCCATTCACAAAAGTAAAATGGGGAAGATTGAATACAATTTGTCCAACCTGTACAATGTTCGGAACCTAAAACTACATCAATGATATCTCTTAAGGTTACCTTGGAGATTGCTATTTCCTGGCAGGAATCAGTGCTGTTGCTGAGAACTAAACTAGACTGGAGAAAGCATTTGTCAATCCCTCTATAAATTGGGGAGGTTTGTATGCATTCAACGTCTTCATTAGAGGAGTCCCCTATGTAGTTGATGTTGATGATGCAATCCCAGCAGGCAAATACGGTAAAGCATCAATTTTTGCAGGAATTGGATCCGATAAATCAATCTGGGGCCCTCTCCTTGAGAAAGCATGGTCAAAGGTCAATGGAAACTATGAAAGAATAAGTGCTGGTCAAACAGGAGAGGCTATTTCTTTCCTCACAAATGCTCCTTATTAATATTACAACGTTTCTCTTCTTAATGCACCTTCTATGTGGAAGTTAATTAGTGAAGGAGATGCGAAAGGTTTTGCTATGTCTTTTAGCACTCCAGGAAAGAGTGATAAAACTGTATGTTCACTGAACCTTCCTTGTAATCATGCATACACAATAATTGGCACATATTAAATCACAAAGTCTGATGGAAGCAAACAAAATCTCTACAAATTCAGAAATCCTTGGGGAATTGACAACTCATTCTCAGGATAGTACCAAGATGCAAGCACTTATTGGAGCGCTGTAGGTTCTAATGGAAAAACTTATGCCTAGTAAGCTGGTCAAACTAATGCTAATGATGGTATTCTATACATCACAGACAATGAAGCAATGGGGGCATTTAATGGATTCAATATTGCCGAGGTTAGAGATTCTTTTGTTAACTCATGGTATGATAAAAAAGGTGACACAGTAGCATCAGCTACAACTCCAGCAGTTTATACTTTTACTCTTGCTGCCAATACTCCTCTTATTCTCTTTGTAAAAACATATGATAGAAGAATGTACGAGTAGAATTCTGGTTGCAAAACAGATTACGCTATTTTTAAAGTAGTCCTCAAAGATTCGACAGGCAAAAGTATATAAGCTGTTTCATTTTATGAGGATGCTAACTTTTACTTTAACTTCGTAGATACTCCTCTTGCAAAAGGAACATACAAGATTGAATTTTACCCAACATGGGGAAATGTAGATGTAAAAGACTATGGAGTTGTTATTTAAGCACCAGTTAGCATTGCAATTTTGGACAGTTCATCTAAAACTAGCGCTGTCTCACCTCATGATTATTCTAGTAAAAATCTTAAACCAACAGTTCCTTAGGTAAAGCCAGTAGCCCAACCTCTTCCAGTCATTAATTAAACCGGACCTGCTTATACTCCAAATGGAACTATTGCTACTGATTTAATTAATTGTAGAAATTCATCTTCATTCAAAGTGTCCAATTACAACCACTACTTTTACGGATCCCAAGTCACCTCAATTCTCGATCCAACTAAGAAGACAACAAAGTCTATGTACTAGATTATATATCTTCTAGGTACCTAGAAAGAAAATATAATCTTCACGGGTTAGGTCACAATTAAAACAGCGGTTGGCGGATAGATTAGTACAGCTGGAACTGGAATGATATGTTTGAAGTCTACCTCAACAACTGCAAAAGAAGATACTTTCACTTGCACATGCAAAATTGAGATTGATTTTTATCCCAAGGAGTGCATGGTAGGAATCTTATCTCCTTTAGGTAGCTCTTATTCCTATGGAGCAGCTTTTTAATATTCTTAAGGCTATTGAAATTCGGATATCTCAAAGACTTTAAAGGTATCTGTACTTTACTTAATTACTTATGAAATAACTTGCCCAATGATTACCTACAGGTGTAATTTACTTTAAGAAATTTACTTCTTCAAAATTTCAGTCTTTATTTAACATTGCTTTTGTTCTTTTAATTTGCCTTTGATTTCATCAATCTCTTATCATTACTTGATTGCACACTATGGGGTTTTGGGGTTTTGGGG